TTATAATTGATTATTGAGCATAGTGACATGATACAAAGTTCATAACTCTATTAATCTTAGTTACACTTCATTCCGCGTTGTCTTATTGCTCCACATAAGGCAGGAACGAGTAGGCATAATTAGTCCACAATATTTCAGTACTGAGGAGTATGTCATCACTTTGGCTGTACCTACAAGTGCGGGTCAATGCGAACCAGTATGGTGTTCCAAGGGACAATAGTACTGTGCAAATTGTTCCAGCACAAAACTCGGCCAGGATTGGGAGTCGGTGTTCACCACAGAGGGCTGGTCCTCACAGCATAAAGGGCGATCTGCCTGGAGGCCAGGCGGCCACGCCACCCTCTAAAGTCTAAACCATACACTCAGCAGAATCAGGACCTCTTGCCCGTTAACATCGCCCCCACCCCCCTAATGTTTGTTCGGGTAAGGCAACAAACGCCAGGGACGATAACAACCATCATCATCAAGACAGACAAACACAGACTGGACAACCATGTAGAACCTATTGCCAAAAGTCACTCACTGTTACAGTTACCCAATACAACCACCAGCCAGTCAACCATTCTATTAAGACTATCATAAGAACATCAGTCTGTACAATTAAACATTCCAAAATTGATAAAATAGGCACTTTACCTGATTTAACCTTGATAATACCTGTATGTAGTAAATTACAGGTGTTTTTATTAATATATATATTTTTTTTTGCAGCGTACCTTCAAGAACAGCGGACAGGCAGGCAGGAAGGAAGTGACTTCAACACCTTTTCATGGCGCTCGTGTTGGGTAAGTGTTGACGTGTAGTGTTCCGGTGGTCACTCTTGTTTCAGTAATTAATCACCGGACTTGATATACTCGATAAGACAGGTGTGTGAGTTATTAGACTTCCTTATGAGGTTTTATTATTGATGTTGTGGTTTAATGTTGATGTAATACAGATAATATTTCGCTGTAACAACTGTACGAGTTAATTACCATCATGTGCACGAATTACACAGGTGTCCACTATGAACTGTTATGTTTTATACAGGTGTCCTCTATGACCTGTTATGTTTTATACAGGTGTCCACTATGACCTGTTATGTTTTATACAGGTGTCCACTATGACCTGTTATGTTTTATACAGGTGTCCACTATGACCTGTTATGTTTTATACAGGTGTCCACTATGACCTGTTATGTTTTATACAGGTGTCCTCTATGACCTGTTATGTTTTATACAGGTGTCCACTATGACCTGTTATGTTTTATACAGGTGTCCACTATGACCTGTTATGTTTTATACAGGTGTCCACTATGACCTGTCAGAGGCAACAGGACGCGTCGGACACATGTATTGTTCCCCGAAAGAATTATTTACGTAAAGTCGTAATTGTTCTGGTTTTGTTATTAAAAAATAAACCTTGTATTTAATGTCTAATGCTCGCTTCCTGTGTGTGTGTGTGTGTGATGTAAACACGATAGTTGAACCAATATAAATAGAGCTTAATAAAACTTGCTATCTGCATATAACAGACACACCCACACACACACACACACACGCACACGCACAAACATACACACAGACGCACAAACACACACACACATCCAGTTCTTTTATATGACCACCAACAAACAGTTAAATTATCTAACTGGAGGTTGTAAGTAACTCAACACCAAATATGTACAACTAAATTTATCAAGGACACACATGTATGTTTGCCTTGACTCGTTGTGTCTAAGTATAGTGTATTGGGTTGATGGTGGTGGTGCTAGTAGTGGTGATGATGATGGTGGGTGGTGAGGGCGTTATTGGCGGTAGGTGGTGGTGGTGGAGGTAGTGTTGTTGGTGGTGGTGGAGGAGGTAGTGTTGGTGGTGGTGGAGGAGGTAGTGTTGTTGTTGTTGGTGGTGGTGGAGGAGGTAGTGTTGGTGGTGGTGGAGGAGGTAGTGTTGTTGTTGGTGGTGGAAGAAAACGGAAGAGAAGAAAAAGGCAAATAACGGAAAGAAAAACAAATAGAAGGAAATAAATAAGGAGAAAGTCAGCTGATCTTGTTGACATACTGTCAGCTGATCTTGTTTACATACTGTCAGCTGATCTTGTTGACATACTGTCAGCTGATCTTGTTTACATACTGTCAGCTGATCTTGTTTACATACTGTCAGCTGATCTTGTTGACATACTCAGCTGATCTTGTTTACATACTGTCAGCTGATCTTGTTGACATACTGTCAGCATCTTGACATACTTCAGCTGATCTTGTTGACATACTGTCAGCTGATCTTGTTTACATACCGTCAGCATACATGTCAGCTGATCTTGTTACATACCGTCAGCATACTGTCAGCTGATCTTGTTGTTTACATGTCAGCTGATCTTGTTGACATACTGTCAGCTGATCTTGTTGACATACTGTCAGCTGATCTTGTTGACATACTGTCAGCTGATCTTGTTGACATACTGTCAGCTGATCTTGTTGACATACTGTCAGCTGATCTTGTTGACATACTGTCAGCTGATCTTGTTGACATACTGTCAGCTGATCTTGTTGACATACTGTCAGCTGATCTTGTTGACATACTGTCAGCTGATCTTGTTGACATACTGTCAGCTGATCTTGTTGACATACTGTCAGCTGATCTTGTTTACATACTGTCAGCTGATCTTGTTTACATACTGTCAGCTGATCTTGTTTACATACTGTCAGCTGATGCTAATTACCTCTTGCCTTTTTTTTCCTTTACCTGAACTGAAGTAACGAGAGTAATGTTATCACCCCGTGTGTGTGTGTGTGTGTGTGTAAGGGGGGACAGACAGACAGGTGGAGGGGAGGTAGGGTGAAGGTAAACACGGCCTCACCTGGTTACCTTGGCTCTCTTCCCCGTCTCCCCACGTCTCCCCGATTGTTACTCTGCCAAGGTAAACCTGATAGACAGAGACAGACAGACAGACCGGCAAAGAGAGAGAAACAGAGAGAGAGAGAGAGAGAGAGAGAGAGAGAGAGAGAGCAGGCGTAGGACATAACCTTGAGTGTACAATATTGAAAGTAGCTAATATAGTTAAGAGGTGTTCCAGTTGAAGGTAGTATGGCAACAGTGTGACTCTTAAAGGATTTCTCTTCTGGCTGGGTACACTGTGTATAGTTCTGAGTGGTGATGTGTCGCGAACCAGGAAGCTTCACACACAGATAGCCAGATGGGTAGACAGACACACACACACACACAGATAGCCAGATGGGTAGACAGACAGTTTAACAAGAGAGAGATGGGGTCTTATAGGAGACAGAAAGGGCCCCTCTTGAGGTATCTACCCTCCCTCCCTGCGTCCCTGCGTCCCTCCCTCGCTCAGACACGTGATGGAAAATTTCCATGAGCGGGAGAGAAAGAGAAAGAGAGAAAGAGACGCAGGAGGGGGGAGAGAGAGAGAGAGAGAGAGAGAGAGAGAGCGCAGGCGTGTAGTTCCCGCCTCGCCTCCCAGTCGTCTGTTGCTTGATAGTGAGTCAGTCTTCTCAAGCCACCGTGAAATTACTCTTTCTTTCTTTTGTTTCCCTCTGTCAATTCTTCCTTACGTTTATCACATCATCTCTTAGTCATATCTTTAACGCCTTCTAGATATCATTTATTTCTAGTTATTTATTTATTCATTATTTTCTTATTCTCTTCTCGCGTTTTTCATCTGTTTATTACATTTATTCATTTGTATTTACTGTTCGTTGTATTGTTTTAGTATAGTATAGGACAACATTTCCTGATTGTAGTAAATATTCTGATGTAGGACTGTGTGTGTGTGTGTGTGTGTGTGTGTGTGTGTGTAATAATAATAATAATATATAGCAATAATGATTACACTTTATTTATAATTAAAAACAAATAAAATAGAATAAATTATGTACAATATATATATATATATATATATATATATATATATATATATATATATATATATATATATATATATATATATATATATATATACAATGTGTGGGTGTGTGTAATAATAATAATAATAAACGGTTTATTATTAGAGTTGCAGCCGGTGGATGAAAATATACAAACTTATATGTGATTTAAACATAATGATATGCCTTCAATACATTTACAGGGCTGTACAGTACATAAATCAGTTGCTGTTTATTATTTTAACAATAGATGGGATGGTGCTGTTCTTATATCTATCGGTGCGGGCTCTTAGGAGCTGAATTTTGTTGTTGTGGCGGACTGCGCGAGGTGGGCGGGGGACTGCCGGTGGCAGGAGGTGGCGATGACGAGGATTGTGCAGTAGTCCACTGCCAAACCCTGCTAGTGCGTGGTGGTGGAGGTCACTGAGGGATGGCATTTCCAGGGTGGAGAGAGCGTTGATGTAGCCCGAGTAGTCTGCGCCGAGCATGATTCTGCAGGCCCTCTTCTGTATCTTTTCAAGCTGACGTTGTTGGGTAGAGTTGAGAGAAGACGACCAGGCTGGTGACGCATACGTTAATTTGGGGAGAATAAATGCATTGTAGATGGTCCTCAGCTCTGGCGTGGGTGCCCCAAGTGACCTAAGTCGTGTGTGTGTGTGTGTGTGTGTGTGTGTGTGTGTAATCATAACTTGTCTATAATCATTAGTTTGTAAAATCGTCTCGTTCAATATATCACCAAGGGAGGAGGAGGGTGAGGGGATGAGAAAGAGGAGGAGATAAGGGGTGAGAGGGGGGAATGTATCCTACACCTATCACTTAATGACTGCAGGACATTACAACACTAATAACATAGTGTGAATCACCTGATGATTACCTGTCCTCACCTTCACCTGATGATTAACCACCCTAATGCTACCTGTGGAGAGAGGTTATGGTGGCCTCGTGGGTTGGATTAGGTTAGTGTTAGAGTGACCTGGTGGGTTAGGTTTAGATTAGTGTTCTGGTTGCTGGGAGGTTTACTTTGGGTGTCTCATCTTCATGTGATCACAGGGAGGTTTACTGAGAAAGTAATAATAAATTTAATCATGAAACAAAATATTGTACGACGCCTTATATGTACCTGTTGGACATATTGTACTGTACGACGCCTTATATGTACCTGCTGGACATATTGTACTGTACGACGCCTTATATGTACCTGTTGGACATATTGTACTGTACGACGCCTTATATGTACCTGTTGGACATATTGTACTGTACGACGCCTTATATGTACCTGTGGACATATTGTACTGTACGACGCCTTATATGTACCTGTTGGACATATTGTACTGTACGACGCCTTATATGTACCTGTTGGACATATTGTACTGTACGACGCCTTATATGTACCTGTTGGACATATTGTACTGTACGACGCCTTATATGTACCTGCTGGACATATTGTACTGTACGACGCCTTATATGTACCTGTTGGACATATTGTACTGTTACGTTGGACGTACCTTATATGTACCTGTTGGACATATTGTACTGTACGACGCATATTGTACTGTACGACGCCTTATATGTACCTGTTGGACATATTGTACTGTACGACGCCTTATATGTACCTGTGGACATATTGTACTGTACGACGCCTTATATGTACCTGTTGGACATATTGTACTGTACGACGCCTTATATGTACCTGTTGGACATATTGTACTGTACGACGCCTTATATGTACCTGTGGACATATTGTACTGTACGACGCCTTATATGTACCTGCTGGACATATTGTACTGTACGACGCCTTATATGTACAGTCACTCCAAAAGGTATCTACGATTTTGTGTGAGACAATATGACACAACGGATAAATGATTTTGGCAAACCCTACCGAGACAACAGGAACCGCAGTGTTCATTTTAGAAATTCATCGGACCCTTCCGTAAAGATACCCTTTGGAGTGACTACCTGGAGGACATATTGTACAGTATGACGTGTTAGTGTCACTGTGGTACATTATGTTAGATGTCGTTGATACAGATGGTGCGACCTGATCTGAGGCAATAACAGATCTGAACTTCAGCACATCACGTCAGTCTTGGAGAGAGTCGGCAGAAATGCTCGTGAAGTAATGATGACAGGCGATGACTTTCTCAGTGAGTGTTTCTTACTGCTCGTTGAGACAGATGGTGCGAACTAATCTGTCGGACACGACGTAAGGATCAGCGTTGGACGATGGTCGACGGTCCTCCAGGTAGCCGGTCTTCTCCTCGGCCACGCCTCTGGGGATCCTGATGGAGGCGCCTCTATTGGCCACGCCCGCTGAGAAGTCGTGGATGGAGGAGGTCTCGTGGTGGCCTGTAAGACGTCTCTCGTTGTCCTTGCCTCCGTGGGGGTCGTAGGCCTGGATGTGCTTATCGTGAACCTTGGACAGTTTCTCAATGGCGCTTTCGATCTCCAGAATGCCATTAGGTGATCGCATACCTGCAGTAGAGAAGTTGGTGTGCATTCCAGCGCCATTCCAGTCGCCAGGGATGGGCTTGGGGTCCAGGGTCACTACCACGTTGAAGTCCTCGGCAACACGGTGAAGGAGGTAGCGAGCCATCCACAGGTCGTCACCCATAGTGATGCCCTCACAGGGACCAACCTGGAACTCCCACTGGGCGGGCATCACCTCTGCATTCTCTCCGGAGATGTTGATTCCTGTGTACAGACACGCCCTGTAGTGAGCCTCCACCACGTCCCTACCATACACCTTGCTGGCCCCAACACCGCAGTAGTAGGGGCCCTGGGGTCCTGGGTAGCCATTCTTGGGCCAGCCCAGAGGATGCTTGTCGATGTCCAGCAGTGTGTACTCCTGCTCCATGCCGAACCAGGGGTGCTGGTCCGCGGCTTTCTTCATCACTTCCAGGCAGCTCTTGCGATGGTTGGAATTAGTTGTTGTGTTATCGTGTTTTCTGGTCTCACACAACACCAGCTTGTTGTTGCCCAGTCTGAAGGGATCCCGGTAGAGGGCTACCGGGTACAGGTACACGTCGCTGTCTCTACCTTTAGCCTGACCCGTTGATGACCCGTCGAAGTTCCACACCGGGAGCTCTGAAAGTGGAAGAATTTGTGTGTTAGTCTGTGGAGAGAAGCACCTCACTTCTCCACACCTTTCAGTACTCAATGGGTTAGATTAGGTTAGGTTAGGTTACGGTTGGTTAGGTCAAAGTATCAAACTTTGTTTAGTCATCTCGTCTTCTCCTGTCATTCTCCGAGACTATTTTTAACGCACTATTACGAGACTAATCTGTTTGACCCTGGACGAGTGTTATGAGTTATTTCAGATCATTGTATCCAACTTGGTCGGCCATTGAGGTACCCTGGCTCAGGTCTGAGTGTTGTAAGTGAGGTGGTTATTTTATCCCGTGGAGATCCTCAACTAAACTGTCGTAACTTGAAGATTACACGCCCCAGCTTATTTTACCTTAGTATTGGGACATCTCAGTTACCATTAGGACACTTCACCTGCCACTGGGGCACTAAACCTACCACTTTGACTCGCCATTAGGACACTCCACCTACCATTGGGACACTTGGGCACAAAGTTGAGAGTTCTTGTCTTAGAGCGAAGGTTCTCCCCTGACCCGTCAACCCACACGTACATGACCTGAACCTTGTCGTCCGGGAGGTCAAGCTTCATGTACCGGTCCAGTACTGTCTTGTTCGTCTCCGGCGCCATCTTCTCTGTGGGATAGATAAGCGAGTCGGTTAGGTTAGGTTAGGTTATGATGTTTAATCATCAGGTGAAATAAGGTGGAGTGTCTAATGTTTATAAGATTTTATGTTTTTTGTATTTTTCACTGATCACAAGACACTGAGGAACACTTGTGTGTCACCTGGCAACACTGCAGGCAGGACATAGTAGATGACCTGGCAACACTTTAGGCAGGACATAGTAGATGACCTGGCAACACTTAGTTTAACAGTTCAACAAATTTATTGACAAAGCTTGTAGTACAGTTTGCCTATTGTGAGTAATTCAGTCAGGTCTTGACACTGAGGGTGGCATTACTTCTCACTGCCACGCAGGACAGAGGTTCATACACAAAGAAATACAACATATTCATTAACAGTATATATAGGTCACTGATCTACCAGACTTGTAAGATGGAAGAATGGTAACACTGACTCACTTACGAGACAGGATGGGTGACTGATATGGTAACGGTAGAAGACACACACACACACACACACACACACACACACACACACACACACACACAGTTATCAGAACCTCCCTATGTACCCAATGTACTATACAGCCTCCCTTCCCTCAACCCCCTTCCCTCCCCCTCACCACATTTACGCACTTGACTAAAGCGCCTTGAAAACAACACCACTACACATGATCTGGTGGTGGTAGTGAGGTCGACGTGACACTTCTTCGGCGGCGACACCAGCAGTCAATAAGAGTTCATTGCCTACGTCACACTGTTCAGGGTCACATTGCTTACGTCACACTGTTCGTGGTCACATTGCTTACGTCACACTGTTCGTGGTCACATTGCTTACGTCACACTGTTCAGGGTCAGGTAACAGTACCGTCAATAACTGTGAATTGACTGAGGCTAAAAATATCCCCTCACTGAAGTCTCTATTTAAGGGACAATATAGAGGAAAAGTCCGTTATATCAGGGGTCTGTTAGATGTGAACCTCCATTTATCAGATTGTATGGAGAGAGAAGTACGTTATATGGAGGTGGAGTGTGTGAGGGAGTGGAGTGTGTTAGGGTGTGGCAGGTGTTATGTGTTAGGGTGCGGCAGGTGGAGTGTGTCAGGTGCGGCAGATGAAGTGTGTCAGGTGCGGCAGATGGAAAGTATCGGTACCGTAGGCAAGTCTTATGTAACTCAGGTAGTTTATTCCCTGACTCAACTTACCTGTAGGGAGCAGCCACCTTGGGTATGTTGTGGTGGTGGTTGTGGTTGTTTTTATTGTGATTGTTCTTGTTGTTGTGGTGGTGGTCGTCGAGGTTGTAGTTGTTGTTGTAGTGGTTGTATTGTTGTTGTAGAGAGTTACCGTCAAATAAAAAAATATAGTTTTACAAATGACGTCACTACAATATGTGTGGCCACGGTACAAGACGCTAAACTCCGTCACTACAGTATGTATGGCCACGATTCTATTGTTGTCACCATAGATCCACTATAGGTTGAGCAAGAAATTGATATTGGTTGCGACACTCTGAAGACATTGTTAGTTGTCGCAATATTCCGTGAGCTGAGAGGACACGAGAAGGACTTTTGAATCGTGTCGGACAAAGTAGTTCCAAGATTGTAATGCATAACAGTCTATTGTAATTAAATACCTTTTATTATCAGTATTAAGAGGTGATATGTTACCAGATGATTCTTGAGAGTCTTTGCCTTGGGTCTGGATTGTAGAGAAAAATGTTGTTTAAATCCGGTGAAGATTAGCCCAAATCACTTACTGTAGTTTGTTTCACCTGATGATTAAACACGCTAATCCTAATGGAGACGATGTTTTAACCCTTTTAAGAACGATGTTTTAAACCTTTGAAGACGATGTTTTAACCATTTAAGGACGATGTTTTTTAACTCTCCAAGACTCAAGGGGTTAATGTAAAGTCATAGTATAAATATGACGCCATTTTGTATGCTATTTATGTTGTTTACATGAGGCTAAATCTCGTTGTTCGTCTCACACCTTGGTGACGCTGTACACCTGCCTGGTCTTGTAGGATAAGTCACCGTTTACTCTAACCTTTACAGTTTTCATTGAGAAATTCCTGCCAGCGTCCATGACATATTGATGGTCTGGTCTGTAGGTAACGTGTGTGTGTGTGTGTGTGCACCAAGTAACACACAACAGATCTACACACCTGCAGCAACACACACACACACACACACCTGCACAAGCACCCCCCGTCCCTCCCCCTCCATCACGGGCGTTGAGAAGACCTTCACCATACCCAGGTAGGTTTCCCAGTTGACTCCTCCCACACGGTGCTAATTAGGAACCACAGGTAGAGGTACAGAGTCTGGAATAGTTGTCAGTGTTCACCAGATAACCAACGAGACAGACAGACAATCAGACACACCAGTTCATCAATATTCCCATTATTACTAAACTCTAAATATTATAGTAATCACAATTATATTATTTTCTCCTGGACTGTGAAATGATAAATAATATAAAGAGGATAATTATTGGTAAGGGATTTAACGGTTCACTAAAGGGGCAAGAAAGTCAAGGTTGTTTACTCCTAATAAGGCGAGTCTGAGGCTGTGTTTACACTGATCAGCTGACTCGTCACAACAAAAACACCACGATAGATCACTTAATATTACCAGTAGCTGAGGCACACACACACACACACACACACACTACGTGTCTGCTGTTCAACACCTCAGCTCACGTGATCTACGTGTGTAAACATTAATCTGTATGTTCACTGTATGTTCCTTTACCTTTCTCTAATGAAGGCTTTTGTTAAACCACCAATGTAAGAAATAAGTCATTTATGTCCAATGTATATTTTCAGCCTTCGGGCTGCAAATTTTTTCAATAAACCGTTAATTATTTATTATTATTATTATTATTATTATTATTATTATTATTATTATTATTATTATTATTATTATTATTATTATTGTGTGTAAGGCTAACAACCTGCGGTACCTTGACTCACCTAACCTGTTTGGCAAAGTGTCCTGCCGCCACTACCACCATCACCTACCACTACCACCATCACCTACCACTATTACCATCACCTACCACTATTACCACCACCTAACACGACTACTACCACCTCCAATGTTAAACCATCCATCACAAACACTACAAATATCTTTCATAATAATTAATGATAATAATAATAATGATGATAATAATAATAATAATAATAATAATAATAATGTTATACTAGACGATGCTATACTATAACTCGACAGGAGTTGCCATGCACAGGCCAACCGGCCTATTGCAGACTCCTTATGTTCTATGCTAGGCCAGGCCAGGTTAGGTCAGGTCAGGTCAGGTCAGGTTATAGTAAAAAATTCATATCAGGTGTAGTACAAACTAGAAACGTAAAATAATTCTACCTGGGTCAATTATCATTATGCATTATTATCGTTACTATTATTATTTATTTTATTATTATTAATATTTATATTATTATTATTATTATTATTGTTATTATTATTATTATTATTATTATTATTATTATAATTACATTATTATTATTATAGAGCGATATAAAGTGTACCCATGGCCTTATATTACTTATTAAAACTTACCTGTGACCTCGGGGTGCTCCCAACAGGTGTGTGAGTATTGAGACAGTTCCGGCGAAGGAGTGACCGTCACCTCACACACGTTCATCTCTTATAGTCATCGGTGACATTGGGAGGTAACGCTATCCTCGCATCTGATTGGCTGTGGCGATAGGCAAAGAGGCATCTGATTGGCTGTTGATATAGACAAAAATGTATTGCTAGGAACTATGTTAATTATGTTGCTAGAAAAATCACCATCAATAACAATAATCAATCACTAAAAGAGCAAAATTATCATCAATCAATCAATAACCTGTAAAAAAATTATAAAATTATTAAAAAAAATATATATTGAATTATTAGTAATATTTGCTACAAAAAATATATATCAGTCATGAAAAAAATTACAGAAAGAAATGAGAAATATTGTCCTTCAATTATTAAGGGAAATACGAACATTTGTGCGTTGGTACAGTGGTGCGTTGGTACAGTGGTGTGTTGGTACAGTGGTGTGTTGGTACAGTGGTGTGTTGGTACAGTGGTGTGTTGGTACAGTGGTGTGTTGGTACAGTGGTGTGTTGGTACAGTGGTGTGTTGGTACAGTGGTGTGTTGGTACAGTGGTGTGTTGGTACAGTGGTGTGTTGGTACAGTGGTGTGTTGGTACAGTGGTGTGTTGGTACAGTGGTGTGTTGGTACAGTGGTGTGTTGGTACAGTGGTGTGTTGGTACAGTGGTGTGTTGGTACAGTGGTGTGTTGGTACAGTGGTGTGTTGGTACAGTGGTGTGTTGGTACAGTGGTGTGTTGGTACAGTGGTGCGTTGGTACAGTGGTGCGTTGGTACGGTGGTGCGTTGGTACAGTGGTGTGTTGGTACAGTGGTGTGTTGGTACAGTGGTGTGTTGGTACAGTGGTGTGTTGGTACAGTGGTGTGTTGGTACAGTGGTGCGTTGGTACAGTGGTGTGTTGGTACAGTGGTGCGTTGGTACAGTGGTGTGTTGGTACAGTGGTGTGTTGGTACAGTGGTGTGTTGGTACAGTGGTGTGTTGGTACAGTGGTGCGTTGGTACAGTGGTGTGTTGGTACAGTGGTGCGTTGGTACAGTGGTGTGTTGGTACAGTGGTGTGTTAATATATTGAAGTGATACTTTTTGTGAATAATAATAATAACAATAACAATAGCAGCAAAACTACTACTACTACTACTACTACTACTACTACTACTACTAATACTTCTATTTTTTTTAGTGGCCTCCAGCCTCCTCTACTACTATTAATATTAATACTACTACTAATAATAACTGTAATAATAATTTGACCACAGTAATTAATTATTTAAAAAGTTATTAAAACAAAATGAAGGCCGAAAAAGTTTATATACTTTGATCGAGGTAAAAATTACATAATAATATTAATCTTAAAACAATGATACTTAGTCTGAACAATGGTCCAGGTCACGTTATTGTTATTGTTGATATATCAGGGTTGTGGTGACGAGGTTTGGTCGTGTGTAAAGATTGTGGGAATTATGTATATGTTGAGGCAGGTGTAGGTGTGTGTGGGAGGAGTAGGGTGTGGGTGTGTGTGTGGGAGGAGGGGTGGCTGTGGGGGAGGGGGTGTGTGTGTGTGTTTGTGTGTGGGAGGAGGCTGTGGAGGTGTGTGTGTGTGTGTGGGGAGGTGTGTGGGTGTGTGGGGGGAGGTGTGTGTGTGGGGAGGGGTGGCTGTGTGTGTGTGTGTGTGTGTGTGTGTGTGTGTGTGTGTGTGTGTGTGTGTGTGGGGAGGGGTGGCTGTGGGGAGGGGGTGTGTGTGTGTGTGTGTGGGGTGACTGTGGGGAGGGGGTGTGTGTGTGTGGGAGGGTGTGGGTGGTGTGTGTGGCTGGGGGGAGGGGGGTGTGTGTGTGGGAGGAGGTGGCTGTGGGGAGGTGTGTGTGTGTGTGTGTGTGGCTGTGGGGAGGTGGTGTGTGTGTGTGTGTGTGTGTGGGTGGGGGGTGTGTGTGGGGAGTGTGTGTGTGTGTGTGTGTGTGGGGTGGTGTGTGTGTGGGAGGAGGGGTGGTGTGGGGAGTGTGTGTGTGTGTGTGTGTGGGGAGTGTGGGTGTGTGTGTGGGTGTGGGGGCTGTGGGAGTGGGTGTGTGTGTGTGTGTGGTGTGGGGAGGGGGTGTGTGTGTGTGTGTGTGTGGAGGGGGGTGTGGGTGTGTGTGTGGGAGGCTGTGGGAGGGTGGTGTGTGTGTGTGTGGGAGGGTGTGTGGGGAGGGTGTGTGTGTGGGAGGAGAGGGGGGTGTGTGTGTGTGGGAGGTGTGCTGGGGAGGGTGGCTGGGGGGGGTGTGTGTGTGTGGGGAGGTGGTGTGTGTGTGTGTGTGTGGGAGGAGGGGTGGCTGTGGGGGGGGGGTGTGTGTGTGTGGGAGGGGTGGCTGTGGGGAGGGGGGTGTGTGTGTGTCGGGGAGGAAGGGGTTTGGAGGAAAGGGGTTGTGGGTTTGTGTGAGTGTGAATGTGTAGGGGTGGTTTGCGGGTGTGTAGGGGTGGTTTGCGGGTGTGTAGGGGTGGTTTGCGGGTGTGTATCTTTTTACTTACACCTCAGGTTAACGAGCTGCATGACCCAGTGTCAAGGAGTAGTCCGACAAGACCGGACAACTCTCCAACTGCACTGGCTAACCATTACCCCGGAACATGATCCGCAAATCGATTAACATCCAGGTTCCCAATTACTGCTGGGAATGATAGAGGCATATGGCGTAAAGAAACTTGCCCATAGTTTCACCCTGCCCGGGGATCGAACCCGGGTCCGCTCGCTTGCGAGGCGAGCGTGCTGACCATTACACCACAGGTACCAACGTACGCACACACACAACTCATTCGTCGCTGAGGAAAAATTAACCATGGTTCAATATTACGAAGAAATAAGGAGGTGGCGGCGGAGTGGCTATACAACACCTGCCGTGCCCCTGAAGCAACTTAGTTCACTCACCTGGGGATGATCACCTGTTTATACAGTTGGGGAAATGGGGCTAACTCTTAATTCCAATCTTATTCAATCTGACTCGTTAGGTTAGGTTAGGTGGTTAAGTTAGGTTGTTCAGATTAGGTGAGTTAGGTTTGGGTTAAGTTAAGTTAGATTACATTAGGTTGGACTATTGTAGGTGAGTTAAGGTTATTTTAAACTACGTTAGATTGGATTAAGTTAGGGTAGATTAACATAGTTCCACATGACCTGTAACTAAGGCCAGGTAGGTTAGGTTAACATAGTTCCACATGACCTGTAACTAAGGCCAGGTAGGAGGTACTAGTGGTTTTGGTGGTCATAGTGTGGGAGTGATGGTGGTAGTAGTGGTGGTTAGAACAATGGACTTGTTATCCTCAGTCTATAGGCTCAAGGTAGACCACAAGGGTAGTGACACGCACACACACACACACACACACACACACCACACGGACACACACTTACAAATATATTTAACCAAAAATGTTACACTAAAATAATCAGGCCAGTAAAAGGAGAGAGAGAGAGAGAGAGAGAGAGTGTCCACGTGCAGATCACAGGGACAGAGGCAGCAGCTGGAGGTGACGTCAAATGTATCACATAACATTATCTTGTACTGCTCTTTACTGGCTTTGATTATTTTAGTGTAACATTTTGTTAAATATATTTGTATGTAAGTGTGTGTGTGTGTGCGTGCGTGTGTGTGTGTGCGTGCGTGTGTGTGTGTGTGAGTGTGTGCCATAAACCAGTATTCAACACCCTAACAACACGTGGTTAATGCCACCTGGCTGTCGCCGCCACACACGCAACTACTCTGTTGGTACGACCACCTCCTGCAAGATGAGAGAGAGAGAGAGAGAGAGAGAGAGAGAGAGAGATCCGGAAATATATCAAGTGTAAGACTGCAGAGATAAGCTCTGTGTGTTGTTGATAACCTTAATGACGCACACACACCCACACACACACACATACCCACACACAAACCCACACACACATACTCCCACACAAACCCACACCCACACCCATACATAAACCCACACACACATACCCACACACACACCCACACCCACACGCAAACCCACACCCACACACCCACCCACTCCACCCACCCACACCCATATACACACACACACACACACCCTTTGCTTATTATGATGCCTTTATGGATATTAACTGTGTGTGTGTGTGTGTCTCCACTAGTAGACTATCGTCGTTGTGTTTTTTAAAAGTAGGTGATATTTCGTTACCGGATATTAGATTAAGTTATGTTAGTGTTAGGTTAGGTTAGGATAATGTCAGGGTGGTTAGGTTAGGTTATAGTCAGGGTGGTTAATCTTCAGGTGTAATAATGATAGTGTCAGGGTGGTTAATCTTCAGGTGTAATAAGGATAATGTCAGGGTGGTTAGGTTAGTGTCAGGGTGGTTAGGATAGTTTCAGGGTGGTTAGGTTAGGATAATGTCAGGGTGGTTAATCTTCAGGTGTAATAAGGATAGTGTCAGGGTGGTTAGGTTAGGATAGTTTCAGGGTGGTTAGGTTAGGATAATGTCAGGGTGGTTAATCTTCAGGTGTAATAAGCTGGGTGATCCAATTTTGTTTATTATAATGTACAAAGAATTAGTTATCAGTTATAAAAAAAAATAGTTATCAGTTATCGTACATGTTGAGCTCATCACCGCCTCCACAACCTGATAACTAACTTTATGATAACATTGGCAATTGTTATCTTGTTGCTGTCCTAATTATCTTCGTCATTAAAGGTTTTATTGCAGGTGTGTATGTGTGAGGTGTGTGCGTATGTATATGCGAGGTGTGGATTTTGTATGCATGTATGTGTGGATGTGTAATATGATGAATGAATGTATGCATGTATGTATGCATGTATGTGTGTGTGTAATAATAATAATAATTAACGGTTTATTGAAAGAGCTTGGCAGCCAGAAGGCTGAAAATATACAGTTACATATTTGGGGAATGGGTTTCGAATTACAAATAATATACAAGTAACATAAGTGACACAAATAAGACATATAATAACTAGATGGGGAAAAGCTCAAACTACAGTTCATTTCAACATAGTGACAGTGCAAGGAGTAGTGTTTACTGGGAGTGAATACACTGGTTTATTACAAGTTATTGATAATTTTTACAATGGTTGGGACTGGGCTGTTCTTATAGCGATCAGTTCGTGCACGTATGGGCTGGATGCGGTTGTGGTGTCGAACAGCAATTCTCGGACTAGGGATCTCAGGTGGTAGTAGGAGCCGGTGTCGAGGATGGTGTAGAAGCTTCTTACCAAATTTGCAGATGAGGTCGTGGTGATGGTCAGTGAGAGTCGAAAGGGTCAGTGTGTTGAGCGCTTCTTGATATGTGGAGTAGGAAGGGGAGAGAATAATCTTGCGTGCCCTCTTTTGCACTTTCTCTAGGTGTTTACGTTGTGTGGCATTTAGGGAGGAAGACCAGGTGGGGGAGGCATAGGTGAGCTTGGGAAGTATGAATGTTGTGTAAACACTGAGGAGCTCGGGTGCAGGAACTCCGAGGGACTTGAGTCGGAGGAGGAGGTGGAGACGGAAACTGGAGGATTTGACAACTTCACTGACGTGTGGTTTCCAATTTAGTTTGTTGTCTGGTGACGCCGAGGAGCTTCGTGGAATCTACAACCTGGAGTGTGTTCGGACCTAGAGTAATGGAAGGAGGTGGGACAATGTTGGAGGAGAGGTTGATGCGCATAACCATGGTCTTGGTATGGTTGATGGTGACATGGTTGTTGGTGGCCCAGTTTTGGAGACTGTTCAATAAATCCTGAAGGGCGGTATAGTTGGGAGCAGAATTGTTGACGCTGATCCCAATGGTGGAGTCGTCGACATATTTCCAGCGAGCAGGGGTTTCTCTTAGGGCATCATTGATGAGCATAAGGAAGCAGAGTGGTCCCATCTTGGTGCCTTGGGGGACGCCACAGGTGAGTGACTGAAAGGTGGAGACAGCCCCTCGGAAGCGTACAGCTTGGCGTCGGTCACTGAGGAAGTCTGTAAGCCATGGTATAAGACTTCTCCGAAGCCCGAGGTCAATAGCTTTGTTGATGATTATATTGTGGTCGACTAGGTCGAATGCTTTAGTGAAATCAATGAAGGCGACAGCTACAGACGTTTTTCGTTTCTCGAGATGGCGGTATATGTAATCGAGAAAGCTGACAAGACAGTGAGTGGTGGAGGAAGTTTTCATGTTGCCAAATTGCTGAGGGTCTACGACTCCTGCAATATCAGCATAAGCCCAGTCGAACACAAAACTTACACAGATTAGGCTGGGTATTGGGGTGATTGCAATAGGTCGTAGCTGATTTAAGGATTGTGGGCTGGTTGACTTGGGCACTGGTGATACATAAGAGGTCTTCCAGTCAGCTGGGCATCTGGCTTGACTGAGAGAAGCATTGATGATGGAGCATAGGGGTTTAGCAAGCTCCGGGGAGAACTCCTTGAAGAGTTTCATTGGTAAGTCAATGGGTGTGGGTGTGTGTGTGTGGGGGTTACTCGTCATGCACCTCCATTACTACAGTATCAGTGAATTTCGCCGCCATGTTGCAGGTTTTTCCATGCTGACGTCATATCTTTAGTGAGTTATAAGAGATGAAATTTGTTCCCTATAGTTCTGTTGTGGGTTAATGAAGGGAACACCTGAAGAATAACCACCCCAGACTCGTACAGGTGAAGTGTCTTTAATACAGCGATAATTTGGGGTTACTGAAGGCGATTGTGCGTGTCTTTATCTTAAGAGGAAAATTATACAGAGATTATTTTAAAAAGATGTAATGATATATCTTATAGGTAAATCTTAACAGGAGGCGAGTTATACATCTCCTGTAAGACTGACAGATAATTACTATAATAGACAGTTAAAAGTTTATCTTCTTATTTACAATATAAACACAGCAGTAGACGGTCATTAGTAACAAGAGGAAGAGATACTCGAGTTTATCACAAAATAATACTTGTACTCGTCATTCAATAATATGAATGGACTTATTCACAACAAAATATACAACGTTTAATAGAACGAAACGATCCATTAAGAGACGAAGACGAGTGAAACAAAAGTGAAGACTGTGAGTACAATAAAAGAGTTTTTCTTCAAGAATGAAATGACTCGATGAGAATGAAACTGGAGAAAATTATGACATGGATTGTGCGTTGGTCCCTTGCGTCTGGCGGTAGTGAGGAGCCGCCTGTCGCAGGTGGTGATGGACGCTGGAGTAGCGGGAGTCCTAGAGCCTCCCCCCCCCCTCCTTTTCAGATGATCGTCCAGGGTCTTACTCGTCCAGACAAATGGTTCTCACCAACACCTCAGACACCATGTAAGGATCAGCGTTGGACGATGGTCGACGGTCCTCCAGGTAGCCCTGTTTCTCCTCGGCCACGCCTCGGGGGATCCTGATGGAGCAGCCTCTGTTGGCCACACCCGCCGAGAAGTCGTGGATGGAACTGGTCTCGTGAAGGCCAGTGAGGCGCCTCTCGTTATCTTTGCCCTCCTTGGGGTCGTAAGCCTTGATGTGGCGGATGTGGTGTCTTGACAGCTTGTCGATGGCTTTCTCGATATCGCAGATGCCGTTGGGGTCTCTCATCCCCTTGGTGGAGAAGTTGGTGTGCATTCCAGCACCATTCCAGTCGCCAGGGATGGGCTTGGGGTCCAGGGACACTACCACGTTGAAGTCCTCGGCAACACGGTGAAGGAGGTAGCGAGCCATCCACAGGTCGTCACCCATAGTGATGCCCTCACAGGGACCAACCTGGAACTCCCACTGGGCGGGCATCACCTCTGCGTTCTCCCCAGAGATGTTGATTCCAGCATACAGACACGCCCTGTAGTGAGCCTCCACCACGTCCCTACCATACACCTTGCTGGCCCCAACACCGCAGTAGTAGGGGCCCTGGGGTCCCGGGAAGCCATTCTTGGGCCAGCCCAGAGGATGCTTGTCAGTGTCCAGCAGTGTGTACTCCTGCTCCATGCCGAACCAAGGGTGAGTGTCGGCCGCCTTCGTGCACACTTCGAGGCACCTGTGGCGGTGGTTGGTCTCTGTGGGCTTCTTGTTATGCTTGTAAGTCTCACACAGCACCAGCTTGTTGTCGCCCAGCCTGAAGGGGTCCTGGTAGAGGGCAACCGGATGAAGGTATACGTCGCTGTTACTGCCCTCAGCCTGGCCCGTTGATGACCCGTCGAAGTTCCAGATTGGCAACTCTGGAAAGTAAGAGAAACGCACACGTGAATACCGACGCCAAGGCTGACCGGGTGAGGAATGATTCTGGTCTGTTGTGCCGCCAGGATGTACACAAAAACTGAACCAAGGTAAACAGAGAGAATAGCGGGAAATTGGACTAATATTCAGAAAATAAAAGTCTCAAAGAGAAATAGGAAGGGGGACATAGGGAGAGAAATGAGGGTAGAGAGAGAGAGAGAGAGAGAGAGAGTTGGCAGCTACGACTTAAGGTCACTAAGGTCTGCTGGTGTGAGCCTCGGGGGCCAGGGCAGACCAGACCACCACCCGGGTTTAGGTCAGAACACCTGCAGCAGCGGCTGTATTGATCACAGGCCGCGCCCTCCCGTCACCGCCCCCCACTACCTCAGGCAGCAGTCGACGTTGCCACACTTACGTACAATGTGTGTCATGTTCAGATAAACTCAGCTCGTGTTCCTCCTAATTCCCTCATACCACCACTGTCTCCTTCACCACCACTGCCTCCTTCACCACCACTGCCTCCTTCACCACCACTGTCTCCTTCACCACCACTGCCTCCTTCACCACCACTGCCTCCTTCACCACCACTGCCTCCTTCACCACCACTGCCTCCTTCACCACCACTGCCTCCTTCACCACCACTGCCTCCTCCAACACCTACTAGTTTCACTGACATTGTCCTCACAGTTGTACAAATACATTAAAAATGAATAAAAAATCCCAATCATGAATAAGTCATATCCCAAATTATGATTTTGTTACATAAACAACGAATTTTAAAAACCATAGATGACCTTAAACGACACAGGAAATACTGTGGTAGAGGCTATCAGAGGTGTTAAGGCTGTAATAACCGATTAATACTGATAACGGTGTCAGCTACTTAGACGGACGGGGGATATGTGTACTTATGAGGTCACACGGTAAAACAGGTCAATGAGGGATGTATATTTATGACTATTTAATAATTACTTTTTTCATGTATATAAATTGATTTGGATTTATATTATTTACCAAGGTTTGTATATCTCAACTTGTCAACACGCTGAACTTTGCTACTTGTGTGCCTGTCTGTCTATCAAGGAGAGGACCGTAGGATACTAACCTGTAGGACTCTTAGGAATGAAGTTAATAGTGCGGGTCTTGGAGCGGAGGTTCTCGCCTGACCCGTCCACCCACACGTACATAGCCTGGCACTTGTTGTCAGGGATGGGCAGCCGCATGTAGCGGTCCAGTACCGTCTTGTTGGTAGCGTTACCGGCCATGGTGATGGTCTGTGGGCGAGATAGGGAGTGAGGGAGCGAGTGGGGTTTGAGAGAGAGAGGGGAGTGAGTGGGGTGTGAGGGAGTGAGTGGGGTGTGAGGGAGTGAGGGAGTGGATTATGTTAGTGTGTAAGGTTGAGGTGAAAGGGTGGGGGTGAGATGGAGTTGTGTGCGTAAGATTGAGTGGGTGGGTGAGGGTGGCAAGTGTAGGTGTGTGAAAGAGTAATAAGAGGAAGGGGTGATGGGTGGGTCGGTGAGAGTGTGTTGTGTATGTGTGACAGAACATAAGAGTGCAGTTCATATGTTGAGTTGTAGATACGTGTCGTGGTATTTACAACAGTGAGTGTTTGTTGCAAATAAAAAAAGTAGTCAATTTTAGAACAAACATAAATAGACTTGAAACTGTAAACAAAGAGAAGATACTTGTAAACATTATAAACATGTCGGAAATTTTCAGCACGATAATTATTAAATGCTCATTACAGAAGGTAAACAGGTGGGTGCTTATAGATTCTGTTAAGTGGAAAATGGACTTTGTAACTTGTAAACGCTACTGAAATTTTTGAACATTAGTACTATTTATGACAAAGAAATTATACATATAAGAGTCTGGTTGAATATAATGGCTTCCTCTGAACACACCACAAAATGTCACATGAATTATTGACAACTATCGATAATATACTGTAGACTCGTTCAACGCTAAACTCAGACAAAGACAAACGTAGGCAACACACACTGTAGATAACTTACCTAGCTTTATGTAGCTAAGAAGCTTCGGTTACTCCAGTACTATCTCGACGATGTGGGTTTGCCCATTGGGTTGTGCGCGAAATCTATACACACAAGGGGCCAAGCTGGGCCTTATATTGTAACTATGACGTCACAGGCTCATGCGCACCAGAGTTCGGTGTTGTGAAGGTGAAGATGCCAGCGGCCGCCACTTCCGTCAACTATTTGTTTTTATCATTTTCAATATTCTCCATTACTTATTTAACTGTAGAGATGTAAAATAATTAATGACCTCAGGTTAATAATTGTAATATTCTCTAGATCTGTTATTACATTTGATAGTTATTAAATACAAAGGGATAATTTGGAACCAAGTGAGGTCTGGCTATGGACTGAACGGGGGTCACGGGACATGCTCGTCGGGGACTGTTTAGTGGAGTTAGAATTTGTATAACTTGAATTACTGATCTACGGTGGTGATATTAATTCGTGGTTGGAGTTGACATATGGCTGGTGGTTATAAGTCCTTATTCCACCTCTTACAAACACCAATATTACCCAAACAACAGCTTTCCTGGCCCATACTTTAATCTCCTCGCTGTTTACCTACACTTGTCTACAGTAAACACATCACTAAGAAATATGAAGTTATGTAATGATTTTAATGATTAGAGATCCAGTCATTATTTTTTGTGTCCTATAAACAACAGTCATTAATGTTTATAAAGTGTAAAAGAACGTTGTAACTATTGATAAAAAATTCTATATCTTCGTTTACGTTAAAGATTTTATATATTGAGTGGATTTGATGCCATTTTAGCTCATTTGGTGATACAAGTGGTGGTGAGAGGCTGTGGTAGAGGTGGTGGTAGCTAGTGATGGTGGTGAGGGGTTGTGGTAGAGGTGGTGGTAGCTAGTGATGGTGGTGAGGGGTTGTGGTAGGGGTAGTGCTGAGGGATAGTGGTAAGGGGTTGTGGTATTGAGATAGTGGTGAAGGGTTGTGGTAGGGATTATCAGTAAGGGGTTGTGGTATTGAGATAGTGGTGAAGGGTTGTGGTAGTGATAGGGATAGTGGTAGCTAGTGATGGTGGTGAGGGGTTAATGGTGCAGCACGTGAGCAGTTGTGGTGGTGGTAGTTTCCACTAAGATTTACGCATGCTCACAATAAGGCGCCTCCCTGCCTCCCTGCCTCTCCCCCTCACCTCCCTTCCTCTCCCCCTCACCTCCCTTCCTCTCCCCCTCACCTCCCTCCACGCTCTCTCCCCTTTCTCCTCTTTTGGTAATATTTTTATTTTCCTCCTTAGTTTAATAATAACTTGTTTATTTTACTATATAGTATATTATCATTGATGCATAAACAAGGAAATGAACGTTTATTGAGGAAAATTATTACGTTGGTTCAGGGTGTGCATAGACGGTGTAGGTATACAAACAATATACAATAATATACAGCGCTAGTCAGGCCGCACCTCGATTATGCTGTTCAGTTCTGGTGCCCTTATTATAGAATGGTTATCAATTCACTGGAGTCGATGCAGCGAAGAATGACGAAAATGATTCCGGGACATAGAAACCTTCCATATCAGGATAGGTTAAAGAAACTAAACTTGCATTCCCTAGAAAGACCGAAGAGTGCGGGGAGATATGATAGAAGTATTTAAGTGGGTGAAAGGAATCAATAAAGGGGATATAGATAAAGTTCTTATAATATCCGAGCAGGATAGGACTCGGAACAACGGATTCAAGTTGGATAAGTTTAGGTTTAGGAGGGAGATAGGAAGAAACTGGTTCACAAATAGGGTGGTGGACGAGTGGAACAAGCTTAAAAACTTTGTAGTAAGTGCTGGAACGCTGGAAAGTTTTAAAAGGAGACTAGATAGATTCATGGATGATAGAGGGTGGTAGTAACTCTCGACAGGAGCTGCCATGCACAGGCCAACCGGCCTATTGCAGACTCCTAATTTTCTTATGTTCTTATGTAATAGCGGTGTACAAATAGTATACAAAAACAGTGCATATACCTGTAGACAGTGAAGGTATAAAACAGTAAACTGGTTTAAATAAGAGTCAGAAGTTTATTTCCATTTGGTCTTTTATTTCTGTCATTCGTGTTTGTTAAGGAAAATAAACTATGGTATATTTGTGCCACGGTTACACCTCTCGTTCTAAGAGATCCTTCATGATAGAAATAAATTTAGTATTATTATGGTACAGTAATAAATTCTTAATTATTTGATAATAAAAATATTCATAATGGTAATAAATTGCATAAATTCCTCAGTTTGATAAGAATTTTTTATATTGGTTATCAATATTAATAGAATTTGATATATAATGAATTTTTAAAATATTTTTTATATAGCAACAAATTTTGAAAAAACTAAATACAGTATTAGCAAAAACATCATTATCTCGACAAGTGAATTAAATAATAATATAAAAAATGTCTTTCTTTCTAAAATGTCAATCATTTTACCCCAAACATTCCGCCAAACTAATCTTTAGTCACCTCGCTAAGGCTTCACCACGTCGCTTACGCTCCAGTACTGTGGTGTTAGAGGGATTAAATGGTAAGATTACTTTAAATCACGTAATCAACACAAATATTTCGTGTGTGTGTGTGTGTGTGTGTGTGTGTGTGTGTGGGTGTGTGTGTGTGTGGGTGTGTGTGTGTGTGTGTGTGTGGGATCTTCAACTCTTATTATTATTGAACAAACATGTGTGGTAATTTATTTATTAATTTTATTACTTTGTTAATTAACTTCTAACTTAATGCGTTGTTTGTTGATTATTGTTGATTGTTGTTATTATAGTTTTTTGCTGTTAAATATTTGTTTATTGTTGATTGTATTGTTTTATTTATAGTTGTTGTTTGTGGAGTTATTAATAATTAAATAAATCTTACTTGAGGTGAAATGAACAATATTCTTGTTACTAACATTTCAACAGACAATATTTAACTATTTCCTGGTACTAAACACATTAAAATATTCTCTTTAATAATTCATAATTCTTGTAAAACTATGATTATGTAACATATATACTACCATACAGTGAAACCTCCATATAACGTCAGCGTAGATGGTGTTAAATCTGAGTGGGGCTGTGTAACCGGTGGGGTTCCCTAAGGCCCACTCTTGTTCATAATCTACATAAGTGATCTAGATACTGGGATCAGCAGTGACATGCAAGTTTGCTGATGACACCAAAATAGAGAGGCAGATTAATTCAGGGCAGGATGCAAATGCACTACAGGAGGATTTAAATGAACTGTAGGAGTGGTCAGTAAAATGGTAATTGAAATTCAACACCAGCAAGTGCAGCGTACTTAATATTGGAAGAACAAATACTGACAATGTATACAGCCTTAACAACATCAACCTAGATAAGTCGACTTGTGAAAGAGATTTAGGGGTACTTGTAAGCCCGGACCTACGGCCTAGAAAAATAGTGCGTTAATGTTCGAAATAAGGCAAACAGAGTATTAGGTTTTATATCTAGAGGTGTAAGTAATAAGAGTGCAGAGGTCTTATTGCTACTATATCTTGCGCTAGTCAGGCCGCACCTCGATTATGCGGTTCAGTTCTGGTGCCCTTATTATAGAATGGATATCAATTCACTGGAGTCGGTACAACGAAGAATGACGAAAATGATTCCGGGACTTAGAAACCTTCCATATCAGGATAGGTTAAAGAAACTTAACTTGCATTCCCTAGAAAGACGAAGAGTGCGGGGAGATATGATAGAAGTATTTAAGTGGGTGAAAGGAATCAATAAAGGAGACATAGATAAAGTTCTTATAATATCCGAGCAGGATAGGACTCGAAGCAACGGATTTAAGTTGGATAAGTTTAGGTTTAGGAGGAAGATAGGAAGGAACTGGTTCACAAATAGGGTGGTGGACGAGTGGAACAAGCTTAGCAACTTTGTAGTAAGTGCTGGAACGCTGGAAAGTTTTAAAAGGAAGCTAGATAGATTCATGGATGATAGAGAGTGGTAGTAATACTCGACAGGAGCTGCCATGCACAGGCCAACCGGCCTATTTCAGACTCCTTATTTTTCTTATGTTCTTATGTAACGGCCTCCTCTCTGTACGTAACGGACTTCTCTCTATATAACGGACTTCTCTTTCTATAACGGACTTTTCTCAATACAATCCGTTAGAGGGGGGTTTCACATTTAACGGAGCCTCGATATAATGGGCAATTCCTTTATATAGTCCGTTAAATAGAGGTTTCACTGTAGATACCGTTACTCAAACCTTGAAGGGCGGAAAATACGTTAACAGCCTCAGTAGTTGAACATTGTGGCGAAGTAAAGAGTTTTAAGCCATCTAGTGTGTTCCTTTTACTGTCTAGGGTATTATAAGTTGCATTGTTGTTGTGTTGTAAAGGAGAGGGAGGATTGGGTGAGGGTGCACAGAGGCGTAGTAGTTACAGTAAACACGAGCAGGAGTCTTGATCAGTCAACCAGCCAAGAGCGACGACGCCATTGGGCCAACGTTTGTTTTCGTTCCGTGTTGCGTCACTACAGGTGATCCCAGGCGTGCCAACCCAACACACGCATACCAAAAAGTATTTCCTCATCTGAGTCAATATTTTTGTGCCCCTTATGTACCCATGGTTTATTTAACTAATCTCTTATGTTTAACTATATCTTAAATTATATATCCCCATGTGGGGAAAAATTATAGTATTCTGAGATAAATTTCAATACGCCTTTTGTCAGTGTCTCGTAATCTTTGTTTTCATTGTACTGGGCGATGCAAAAACACGTTTACTTTTCAAGGAGGAGTCCACAGCAACGCAGGCAGGCCGCACCTCGATTATGCGGTTCAGTTCTGGTGCCCTTATTATAGAATGGATATCAATTCACTGGAGTCGGTGCAGCGAAGAATGACGAAAATGATTCAGGGACTTAGAAACCTTCCATATCAAGATAGGTTAAAGAAACTAAACTTGCATTCCCTAGAAAGACCGAAGAGTGCGGGGAGATATGATAGAAGTATTTAAGTGGGTGAAAGGAATCAATAAAGGGGATATAGATAAAGTTCTTATAATATCCGAGCAGGATATTATAGCAACGGATTTAAGTTGGATAAGTTTATGTTTAGGAGGGAGATAGGAAGAAACTAGTTCACAAATAGGGTGGTGGACGAGTGGAACA